CAGCAGGGGTGGGCGGGACCTCGGGCGAGGGTTGGGTGGGGGCCTCGGTCCCGGGGTCCGGGGTCCGGTGGTGGCAGCCGGCCAGACAGCCAGGCGGTCGCCCACCCTTCTCCCTCTGCCCCCTCCCTCTACCGCTCGAAGAACTGAGCCAAATACACGCCCCCTCCATCCTCCTCCCAGAGGATGTTATGAGCTCAGCCTTATTCGTGCATCTAGACCAGAATCCTAAGAATGAGAAAGTCCAACCAGCCCACTGACAGAGGCCGGAAACACACACTTCCTCTTATATTTAATTGAGAAAAATCCAGGCCGTGACCATGTGACGTGCCCCATTTTGTTTCCCTCCTCTCTTTACTACGATTTACTACGACGCCACGTTCCTGTTCCTTAATCTTCCTGTCTTGAAATCTGTGAACAGGAGGAAGCTACAGCACGTGGTTGTAGGATTGATTGGGTTGGCTCAAGATTTTTACATTTACATCTCTTACTATTGGGAGGAAGGAGAGAAAAACTGAGTAGGAAATCCAAGTGCTGTGGCTGGCACTGTGTGGGGATCATTCGGAAAATCCATTTGGCTCGAAATTGCATCAGGGTCAACACTTTGTTGCGTGCTTGCAGTTTGCAAAGCACAGAGCTAGGATAAGACCCACAAAAACTGACCATCCTCAGCCCAAGGAAGCTCATAGTGAAATGAAAACGTCGATACAGCTTGCAAATCGTGAGAATCTAGAGATTCCTTACGAGGGCTTAGATAGGGTTCCTTATTGGGCTTGGAGGTAATGCTGCTTGCTTCTCAAAAACAGATCTGTGTTTTGACCTGTGGCAGCCTTAGTGACAGCCCATCAGGGCAGGCAGGGAGAACGGACTTCGAAAGCTTGCTAGATTTGTGTTGTGCTTCCTCACATAACCAAAATTATGTGGGATGTATTACCAAGTGCGATCGGCATTTGTTTATTTATTCTTTCTAGAATAAAGAAGGAAAATAACAAAGATAAATACTATGGAAGTATTTCCTTCTTCCCATCCCTCTAAAATAAGTGTTTCTCACCAGCTACCAATCTCTGTTGCAATCACTGAATCATAAGCCCCAAAGGCAGTGTTTTTCTTTAGGTGTTGATTGAAACGTCACAGGTGAAAATGTAAGGAAGAAACACTGCCCCTGAAAATTCTATGCCCCAATACTGCTTCTGAGCTGGTGGGAGAGAGCTGCTCTGCTGTTCCAGAAAACTTTGAGCATTTAACA